CCCTGCCATGCACTGATTGGAGCACCTTTTGTGACTACTGAGCAGTCCATGGATTGATCATTCGATAGCTTGTGCCACTTGACAGTGAAGTGTATCTTGAAAGCTAAACCTCACAGGACACATGTTGTACAATGCATTTGACATTCTTCTTTTAGTTTCACCCTGCAGAGTGTGTTCAGATTTACAATTTGTAAAGCCCTGCACAATTGTTACAGTATACTGGCAGTTTGGTAGCAGTGTCAGTGAAGAAAGTCTGTTGAGTTTGTGGATGAGCAAGGATTATGCAGCGTCTGCCTCTTCAGTTGTGCACCATCTACGAAGAGCCCCCCGTGCCACAGGTGTCTTCTTACATTCACTCATCTACACCAGCAATTTGGACCTTGTTTGGTAGATATAGTGAAATGTAATTTCTACAGTGCATTATAAACTTGATAAATTTTATATCTCATAAATCCCCCCCCCCCAGTTCAGCACTGTACATGGAGGACTCCAGAACCCCTACTCCAGGCAGCTGGATATGTGTAACAGAACCCCTTATGTAGGTGGTGAAGGGAGGGCAGGGTTGCAGGCAGTTAGTATAGCAGCACATGTTTGATCTCATCTGGAAAGTCATGACACAAGATTAGTGAATGGCTTGCATTGTCTAATAGGATATGAATGATATTCCCGTTTTAATATTATACAGTGGAACCTCGCTTAATGAGCACCTCTCATAATGAGTAATTTGCATAATGAGCAAAACAAATTGTAAAAAAATATCTCGCTTAACAGCGACGTTTCGCATAACGGGGGAAGTCCCAGATTGTGCACTTGCTACATCAGTCTGTGTTTAGCACTTGTTCCGCTAGCATCTTAGTGTCGCTTGTGAGCACACATTTTTCCAAACTTGTGTTAAGACATTATTTGTGATTTTTTTGTGCAAAGTTTAATAACGCTTGCAAAAATGTCCCCGAAGAAAAAGCCGAAAAAGACAGCCATAAGAGAATAAAAATAACCGTAGAAATGAAACGTAAAATCATTCAAAAGCGAGAACGAGGTGTGAGCATGGCTGATCTAGCAAGCACATGCAGTCGGTANCAAATTGTAAAAAAATATCTCGCTTAACAGCGACGTTTCGCATAACGGGGGAAGTCCCAGATTGTGCACTTGCTACATCAGTCTGTGTTTAGCACTTGTTCCGCTAGCATCTTAGTGTCGCTTGTGAGCACACATTTTTCCAAACTTGTGTTAAGACATTATTTGTGATTTTTTTGTGCAAAGTTTAATAACGCTTGCAAAAATGTCCCCGAAGAAAAAGCCGAAAAAGACAGCCATAAGAGAATAAAAATAACCGTAGAAATGAAACGTAAAATCATTCAAAAGCGAGAACGAGGTGTGAGCATGGCTGATCTAGCAAGCACATGCAGTCGGTCTACATCAACGATTTGCACGATTTGGAGTTGCATTGTGTTTCACAGCAAGAAGTTGTGGAGGAGAGTTTGTCCGAGGAGGAGGAGGTAACAGCAAAGCAACAATCTTCTGGCGCAATAAGAGAAATGCTGAAAGCATGGGAAACTGTTGCATCATACATTGAGAAGCATCAGCCTAACAAGGCAGTGGCTATGTGCGCTACAAATTTATTTAATGATAATGCTGTGTCGCATTTTCACCAAATTTTGAAGCGTCGGCAAAAACAAATGTCTCTAGACAGCTTTCTAGTAAAAAATAATTAGATATGTATCATATACATTTAGATCTGGTTGGGCCATTTGAAGTACCCTCTTATGCGAATGCTAAATATTTTTGACTATTGTGGATGATCATAGTAGAAAAATCTTCATTCATTTCTTGAAAAAATAGGTGACACATATAAAGCCTTTAAAGAATTTATGAAAATAGTTGAGATAGAAACTGGATTGACTATAAGAGCTGTTCATTCTAATAAAGGTGGTTAATTTTGCAGCAAATTATTCAATGACATGTTAAAACAAAAGGGAGTTAAAAGGGAATTCTCTGTGCCACATAATCCACAACAAAATGGAACTGCTGAACGAGCTAATTGCAATATTCTGGAAAAAACAAGATGTATGTTGTATGATTCCGGATGCAACAAAAGATTCTGGGCTGAAGCAGCACAAACAGCCATATATCTTTTGAACAGATCACCTCACAAGACACTAAAGAACCAATCGCCTGAAGAAATATGGACAGGAGAAAAGATTGATCTCTCCCACATAAAAATTGTTGGATGTCCAGCGTATGCACATATACCATCACAGAAACGCCAAAAATTGGATGCTGTGAGCAAAAAATACATTTTTGTGGGATATAGTGAGGATAGTAAAGCTTATCAGTTATCAGATCCCCTCAATCCGTCTCAAATAGTTAAGGCAAGAGATGTAGAATTTCTGGAAGAAGAAATTATAAACAAGAAAGCGTGTGAGGAAGGACTTCAGCTTAAATAGATTCTTCCAGAGTTGCCAAGTTTCTACCTCGACCCACAAGATGAAACACTGATTCTGCAAGAACAGACACAAGTAGAAAATGAAGGAAATGAAGTTCCATTAGAGCCGAACGGCTTAGAACAATTACCGGGGAATTTGGAAGAAAGACTATATCCACTTCGGAACAGGAAACAGAAAGAATTTCAAGAATTTATTACCTACTTAGCCATGCATAAAGATGAGGAGTCAGAACCAGTCACATATGAAGAGGCACTGTCAAGCTCCGATAAATCTAAATGGAAAGAAGCTATTCAACATGATGGTGGTCTTCTGGGTTATGATACCATGTTGTCCTGTAGGCAGATGCTGACATTTTAGAAGATGTTACCTCCATCTACATGGTTGAACTGTGAACTTTCAACTGAAAAAGTCCCGTTGTCTGTTCTCTACAGAAAAATACATGACACAGTGGTATACAAAATACCTTAATGGAAGTACACATGAGACAGTGTACAGTAGAGACATCCTGACTACCTTCTACACCCACTTCAACACAAAAGACTTATCATGAGGTCAGACAATGTAACCATAACACAATCACTTCTGACTTGTCTAACCCCTCTTCAGCAACCTTCAGAATATGGTAACAGGTATAGTTTAGATGCTGCTCTGAGAATATGGTGTGTTTTTTGCATTGCATCAAGTTTTATCAGTGCAGATATTTTTTGGTGGCACAAAATATGAAGGCTCTTGGCATGGCCAAATGTTAGATTTCATGAGTTAATTAGGACAGTGCTTTAGTTAAGGTGTTCATATGGTACAACAAACTCCACGAATTCACAATTCATCTCATAATTTTAGTGTTTTTGTACAGTGCAACAGAATTCACTGCACTTAGTTTAACAAAACTTACATTCGGTGAGTTAGTTTTCTTCAGGTTAGTTTCGTTAATTTTTCATGAGGCAAGATTAATACTTTGGGTATCGGTATGTTACAACAAAACTCACTTTTTTTAATTTTAAAGTATTCTGAAGAATGCCTTCTTCTGGAATGTGGCACCAGATGTGTGTGTAGATCTTGTGCGACCCGACGCTTCAGAGGAATGTATCGCAGACTGCAGCCATCTGCTCAAGCTGGTTCCTATCTTGCAGATTTTTATACCCTGAAGATGGAGACAATATGTTCCTCCGAAACGTCGGTTCACACCAGCTCTACATGTTGCCACATCCCAGAAGACGACATTCTTCATAGTCACCACCGTGAAAACCTCAAATTTGACATGTAAAATATCCCGTCTGTAATGCAACAAGTCAATCCTTTCTTCAAAGACACTAAAATATATTTAATCCACTAAAAGGTGTTTGTTAAAAATTTTAAAATGTCATTAACTATGTACATTTGATTTCATTGTTACATGTGTCGGCCACACATAGGCCATCATCAGGCAACACTTATTTGGGTAGTGTTGCCAGATGATGGCCCATGTGTGGCTGAAACATGTAGCAACAACATTGAATGTACACAGTTAATGACATTTTAACATATTTAACAAGCACTTTTCAGTGAATTAAATATATTTTAGTGTATCTTCAGAAAGGATTGACTTTGTTGCATTGCAGATGGAATACTTTACAACTTAAAACAGTGCCCCAGTGCAACAGGATGCTGAAATATAAAACTCACTTTGTTTGGTGTGGACTCTTTCATTAGGAAAGATAGGTTAGTGCCTTTAATATGGTAAAACAATTAATGAAACTGACTTATACATATTTGCTGATATTCATCAGTTCTCACATAAAAATGTCTGGTACCTACCAATCTTTCTTGGAATTTTGATCAGTCCCACCACTGATTTCCTAATTTCTCCCTGCTGCATGTCTTAACTACAAATATCACCAAATTCTCAGGGTGTGTATCCCTCTCTCCCATTACAGATTTTTATCGTGGTTACTAGAAGTCCTCCACACCTTTGCAATCCTAATAAAACTACCCAGTACAGTCACAGTGTATTAACACATGAATAGTTAACACAGTGCAAAGCTGACTGGTGCTTCCATGTTCCATGCAGAAGATTATGAGGATTAGTGATTTTTGTTAGTTTAGTAACCTTAAAAATACCACAATTCAATGATAGATTCGAAGTGAGTGTAGGCTATGATGCCTATAGTTTTACCTTCTACGCTTTCGGGGATAATTTGCAGCGGACAGGTTGATTAAATGCGTAGCAGTCTATTTTATCATTCTTATTGGAAAAGTTTATTTCACATACCAGGTTAGGTGTTCGTCAGTTTAAGAAAAACACTGTCTTCACCTTCAAATTTCTTTTAGTCAAGTGCTAATTTAGTGGGGATACTACATTCGTCTATCGTCGATTAAGTTCTATTTCTCTGGGAACACATTTCACTGATATTTCATCTCACAATAATGCTCCGACAATGTACAACTCCGACCGGTTACAATTCATCCAATCCGCCAGATGTTTGCTATCGACCCTATCGACTATGACCACTATGAGCACCATGAGGACGATGACGACTATGACCACAATCTTAGTTGCATGAAACAACATTAGATGTCGGTCGCGTAATTCTTCTGACGTTCGTGTACTCGTCTACATCGGTAAATAATTGTGGTAAAAATGGCGTGCGCCGTGGGTTGGCGGTGGTGGAGTTCATTGTAAATATCTTCTGCACTTTTATGATAGGTGGGTTAATACTAAGCAAAGCCGGTCTTTGTAAAATGTCAGTACCACAGTGATAAAAGCTTTGAACATTTCTTTTAACGAAACCGAGAAAATAATTTTAAGAGACGTTGGCAACCGTCAAGAAAATTTAGAAGGCAGTGATTAATATTTGTGAGACGAAAGTAGCCTTGATGTAACTGAGATATCAGGGGGTTATGAGTCAAACTTTGAAGTTTGAGTTATGTTGGTCTGGTTAAGTCGTTTGTGATGGATTGTTGCCCGAGTAACTTTCTTACTGTAGCTTAACCGAAACAGTATGTCAGCCCAATTCTGATAATGCAATTTCGAATATTCCTCAGAATGGCACCATTGAGAATTCAATGCAATGTCCACACCTTGCCCATGTTAACAAAATCGCAAGATGTTCAAAGACAGAGGAAGGGCTGATCTCATCCGAGCTTGACGTACTCTGTAACCTGTTAGTTAATTTGCCCTCTACTTATTCTTGCTGGACCATGTATATAAATTTCCAGCAAATCAAACGTCAATTTTCATTACTTATTATATGTTACTCACTGTAGCGTGTTTAATCAGTTAAGCCTATATTAAAACAACTCGAACTGTATTAAAACCAGAGCAAACTTGCAGTTTCTATAGCAGAACTTCTTGATTAACTGAATAATCATCACGTACTGAAGGAAGACACTGTACAATGGAGATGGTTAACACTAAACATCTGTAAATGAAGTTGACTGGATTCTTCAGATAGGGTGCATGATATGCAGAAGTCCTTATGGCAGTTTCATATGCATTTATTGCATAATATGCATAAACCGAACAGATAATGAGGGGATCGTTCAGTCATTCATCTGTTATATCTCAAAAAGTATGCAGACAATCTTTATAGCAATTCATATTGGTGTTGTTTTGCAAATTAAATTTTAGTTTCTATCAGTCCTCAATTACCTCTGCTTTATTTAAACAGAGGTCAAAATATCCTTTTTCCCAAATGACTTATCTTAAAAAAATTAATGTTGATATGATATGGTGATCTCATTAAGAGCAATTGCTTTTATTTACAGTACTGTGATAATTTTACCTGACCAATCTTATGTATGTTATATAGCACACAAGGAATAATTTTGTAAGGCCACTATGCAGTTTGCTGGTTTCAGTCTGGATTCTCTTAATATTCAATACAATTTAAGATTGTGTTCAGTGTAGTTCTTGTGCTTTTGCTTAGCTCTGTCAAAATTACATTTGTATTTGCAATAAGTATATATGATCTTGGAGCGATGCAGAATTGCAAAGAAAGCATTTATGAAAACACCTTACAGCTAGGGGTTTGGTGCCAGAATTTAACTACTGATTCACAGGTTCAGTTTTCAGTGCAATTTTTCATGTCAGCCTACATTGCAGAATGGGAAAGGGGATTTATATAACATCTGCGTTGTGTGGAAAACAGTGTTTAGCATCTGACGAAGCAGAGCTTGCTTTCAGGGCACTTTTTCATCTGTTTTGGATTTTTAGGTACAGGTTCAGCCAAACCAGTGCATTCAGGCTCCAGCACACTCCTTACAGCTGTTGTCATATTCGTTATGCTGGTAATTAATAATTACGGTAAGAGGAAATTTAAATGTTGAGTTCCCCTTGTTCCCCTTGAAAAAGACCTCACAACCATCATGCACAATGTGTTGGTTATCACACGATAAGTGTGGTGCTGTTTATGGGCTGTACACACATTATTGTATGTGCAAATTTGAACTGTAATTGGAAATTCTGTAGTTAAATTCTGCAGTGGATCAAAACCATTGTTGACCAATAATGAGGATCCAGATGTTAATGTCATGGATTTAATGCATTATGGTGAAAACCTTGTGTTAGTGGGTGAATACCATTGATTAACCTGTCATAAACATGACCCGCAGTTTTCTTGTCAATGTAGTTGCATGCCAGAAGGTGTGTTATTTGTTGTTTCGTGTTATACATGGATAAGACATCTTAATTGCCATTCCATGTGTGTTAAATGTGAGTTACATGGAAAGGAGCAACATGAGCATGAACCTTCTAAGAATCTAACAAACCTTGCTCTATAAACCAATACAGTTCTAACCCCTTTTAAATCCGCATGGGTGTGTGCATGTATGTGTGTTTCTGGATGTGAGTGTGGAGGCGTGCCTGTGGTGATAGTTGAAAACTATGGTTCAAGTCTCTGTAAGAAGTTTGATGTGGGCATGTGATACACCAGATCATGCTTATGATGGTACAGAGTGACTGGAGAAAGTGTGTGTATGGCCAGCTGTTCATGAGAAACTTCAGTGGAAAGAGTGATATATACTTTCATGTGACACACAACTGTCCCAACAGTTATTATATTGCAGACCTGTTAACATTGTGTTTGTTTCCTGTAGGCTCTTATGTTTGGTTCAGTACTGCATTAGAAATAAACGCATAGCACCCAGTTTGTATTTGTATATTATATGTATGTGTTGTTGCTCCTTTTCCTGTAGAAGCATGCATTGGGAGAGTGGTGCAGATGATAATATTAACAATGTGGTGGGATGAAACAGGAGGGAACTAGGTTCTGATCTTGAAATTTTCTTGCACAGATACTTTGGAACACCATTCAGTTGTTAGTTTGGTGGGAACATTGGTATTATTCAGTTAAGTATAATAAAACATTGGTGCAATTACATTGGATTACAATTATTACAATTACTGGATATTTGTCAATAATGAATAGAGAAGCATGTGGGTGGAAGCAGTCATGGTCTAATTTAAGGTATATTCAGGCATTTACATGCAGGGACTGAGAAAGACCATGGAGACCCTCAGTCCAAATATTCAGTGACATGGCGGCATTTCAAACCAGATATTTCCCAAATACAAGTCAAAACCATTACCTCTTTGAGTCACCTTGCTCAGTTTATTACAGTTTTCCAAAAAGTTCAATCACTCACTCCCTCGTGGAGCTCAACCCTTCTTGAGAAGCCTCCAATTATGCAGCCACTCAAGAATTTAATAGCATTTTATGGAACCCAAAGGTTCATTACCGTGTTCACAAGAGCCCTCCACTGGTCTCCATCCTGAGCCAGATCGATCCAGTCCATACCAACCCATCCTGTCTTTCTAAGATACATTCTCATATTTTCCATCCACATACATCTTGGTCTTCCTAATGGTCCCTTTCCTTCCGGCTTTCCCACCAGAATCCTATATGCATTCCTCTTCTCCCCAATTCATGCTACATGCTTTTCAAAGAGTTACCTGTTGAAATAATCCTAACAAGAAATGCATTATGTGTATGTGTCTCATGTCATGCCGTTGAATATATTGTGATGTTTTTCTGTTTCAGATGGATTATGGCCTGTGGAACTTACATGGGGGTTTTTGGGCAAGCAATAACCCATGCAGTGGGGACAGTGTGAGCAGACCGCTTTACACCACAGTCAGTGCTGGAAGCAGTGGTCCTTTTCATGCCTGTACAGGTGAGAAAAATGCATGAATATTTCCTGTTAGTATATTTACAGCAAATCTTCCATTTTTTCCATCAAGTTCCGAGTTAGGAACGTGTGAAGCTGTACCTACATATGTGTGGTGTGCCTTTATGGGTTTGGTGAGCCATGGGGAAACTTAAGAATCGATATTTCACTTCCCCTCACTCCTAACACTGTGTTCTTCTGTACCTATGTACTGCACCACCTGTTGCACCTGAACATGAAATATTATAACATGCTTCATCTCATCACACTAGTGTACTGTGTTCATCAGCACCGCTTTTAGAGAAACTGGGTTTGAAGCCTGGGACTCAGCTGCCGGATAAATGTGATTTCAAACAGAACACATTCTGAAATCTTACACTTCCAAGTAAGATAAACCTGCTGGGCATGTGGAGATAGTACAATACAGTACTGATAATCAGAAAATTGCATTGTCTCGTTCACACCCAAAAGTGGAGATGAAACACTCCAATACCTAGCGCAACAGCTTACACTTAAAGATTTAAAAAGTGAGTACAAATCATTTTAAAACAAAGGAACAATCATTTCACATCACTCAAATGCAAGAGAATGACTTAATATAATTAATAACATAATTGTAAAATCATGTATGACATAAAACCTAACCTAATACAAATTCTTACATGCAGCATACGTTTGTATGAAATTAAATTTGGGTAACTAGGAAATTAAAGCAACTTTAGTATTCATATTAGATACACCTAGATCCTAAAGGTAAAAGGTAAAGGTAAATTTGTCCCTGTGCTTAACTAATGAAGCACTACTCCATGAAGGTGTATGGAGTAGTGGATGCATAGATTCACATTTCCTTAACCTTGGCAATTGCTGGAGGTGAGTGGTCAGCTTAATGCTCCATCTGCTTTACCACCAGGGAAAGAACCCCTGGTACCCATTGGATAGGAGGTTGGATGGACCTGAGAGCCCGTCTGGACAACGTGGAGAAGATAAAATTCTTGACCTTACTGGGACTTGAACTCCAACCCATCGGTCGTCCAGCCTGTAACCAGTTGCTATACTGACAATATTCAGTATTTCTGTATCATGTAACTTAAATTGATTTCAATATGACGGACAAAGTGTGTGCAACTGTAGTTACAGTCTGGCTGCAATTTAGTTTTCCCTTGTCTCAGTGTTTGGCTGTGGCTACTTTAAAATGGCATTGGCCACAAATGATGTCAGTGCTGTTTGCCTCTGAATACCACTGACCAATTTAGTAGGAGGTTGGCTGCACCATAGCTCAAGCAGTTAGTCGCTGGCTTCCCACCACGGCAGCCAGGGTTTGATCCCAGGTCTTGTCAAGTGGGATTTGTGGTGGACAAAGTGGCGCTGGGGCAGGTTTTCTCCGAGTACTTCGGTTTCCCCTGCCAATCTTCATTCCACCAATTGCTCCACAATCACCATCACCCATCATCTGGGGCTGGTACAATAGGCCAGAACTGGCCACAGTACAAGGGAGTTAGTCCCACCCCACTAGCATTAATAGTATAAGGTTAAAATCACATTAAGAGAAACTTCCTGGAATTGTCCTGCTTCCAAATTCTAGTATGTTCATTGTTCATGATGTTTCTCAACCCGTTTGCCATGTTCAGTTGATACACTGTTATCCAGCAACTCAACAATTGTTATTGTATAGACCTGATACAAGGCAACCTCCTATTGAACCAGTGAGAAAAACAATTTTTTTTTTTGACAAAATGTAATATGTCAGTTCTGAGGGTTGTAAACCAAAAGACATAAATATGTGGTGTAATCTAAGAGTTCCCGAAATATATTAATAAAAACTATTACATCTTACCTAGATCTTATTCTGCAACATCACCTTCAAAGTAGTCCCCTTGGGAGCACTTACACCGATCCCAGCATTTCTGCCACTTTTCAAATGCATCCTGGAAGTCTTTTTTGTTAGGGTGTTTAGTACCGTCTGTGTTTCCGCTTGAATTTCCTCAACTATATAAAATATTCGTCCCTTCAACTTGAGTTTCATCTTGGGGAAGAGAAAGAAGTCGCATGGAGCTAAGTTGGGTGAGTACAGTGGGTGGGGAATAACTGCCATCTTGTTTTTAGCCAAAAATTCCTGCACAATGTAAGCCGTATGTGGTCATGCGTTGTCATCGTGGAATACCCAGTCATTCGTGCGCCACTTCTCTGGACGTTTTCTCCTCATGTTCTCCCTCAGACGCCTTAGAACATCGCGATAGAACTCTTAATTGACTCTCTGACCAGGAGGGACGAACTCCTTACGAACAATCCCGTCAGTGTCAAAAAAACAGATCAACATGGACTTAATATTGCTCTTGACTTGTCGAGCTTTTTTTGGCCGAGGTGAAGAAGGGCTCTTCCATTGCGACAATTGCTTCTTGCTTTTCAGAGTCGTAGCTATAAACCCAACTTTCGTCACCAGTGACAACCTTCGAAAGAAAGTTTGGATCCTCTTGAAGCTGTTGCTGAAGTTCCCTGCAGACTTCCAAGCGATGCTGCTTCTGTTCATTTTGCAGCAGTCGTGGCACATACTTCGCCGCAATCCTCCTCATGTTCAGTTACTCTGACAAAATTCGTTGACATGTACCATAACTTAGTCCCAAGGTGTTACAGAGGTGGATGGTCAGTCTATGATATTGCAGAATCAGATCCCTAACTTTCGCAACATTTTCTGGTGTTTTGCCTGTTGATGGCCGTCCCGAACGATCGTCGTCATCAATCACTGTTCGGCCATTTTTAAAACGGTTATACCAGTTGTAAGAGTGTGTCTGGCCTAAACTGTTTTCACAAAAAGCTTGCTTCAACATTTGGTGCGTTTCTGCAGCGGTTTTCCCAAGATTGAAACAAAACTTTATACAGACACGCTGCTCTCGCAGGTCAGCCATCGCAAAACCGCAAACTCACGGAAACACAACAATGGAAATACGTTCACCAACAATAAACCCAACCACTCAACTCGACGCCGCTTGCCACACTGATTCAAGAAGGATGTGTGAGGAGACACCTAGCGGTGTTTCGATATACTCATAACCATTCGCGTGCAAAATTCAGATTTCTGAAACTTTGGATTGCCCCACATACTGTACTATTAACCTTTACTGGACGAACGTCATCATATGATGTCATTCAAAGTTAGGGCAGCTGGCTGAACGACATCATATGATGTCGCAGATTCCACGCATGTAAGTTTTTTTTTAAATTAAATTAAAAATATAAATTGTTGTTCTATTTACATGATTTTTGGACAGTGCATGTTTGTCAGTATGTGTACGTCACGTTTGTCCTTCCAAACTAGTGCTGTCAAGTTCCATCTCACCTTAACACGAATGTCACCTTTCTTCAGTCAGAATTGTCTTTGTCGAAAATCGTCAGGCAAGCCCTTCCGATTAGGTCTGACTGTCCCACTGCACATTATGTCCTTTGTCATCAGGTCGTCAAACAAGTCTGGTGACGAAAAGAAATTGTCCATGTACAGTTTGTGACCTACGCCCTTAATACGCCTGCATAGGTCCCTAACTGTAGCATGTGTCGCTGTCACGTCTTGGCTGGCACGTTTCCTGCCTTTTCCTAAGTAAACCTTCATGTCATAGGTATACCCAGCGGCGTCACAAATTTTGAAGATTTTGATTCCGAAACGTTTGTGGCCCTTAGGAATGTACTGTCTAAAAACCACCCTTCCCTTGAATTTAACTATTATTTCGTCTATGGCCAAATGTTCGGAAGGGTTATAATATTTTTGATATGCGTCATTGAGAGTGTCGAAGATGGTCCGAATTTTCCATAGTCGGTCATAACTGTCGGCATTCCTGTCAGTTTCTGTACTGTTGTCTGCAAAATATAGAAAACAAAGAATGTGAAGAAAACGGTCGCGTTTCATTGTGTTAGAGTAGAAAGGCGTGGCAAGTTGTTCAGCAGTCGACCAGTAGTCCTTTAGTGTGTCTCTAATGTCATGTCCCATTTGAATGATTATTCCTAGAAACAGAAACATCTCGGATTCAGTTACGTCAGGCCACGGAGATGGTCCGTCTTCAAGTCTGTCTAGGTACTGGTGATAGTACCTATTCGTCTCTTCTACCAGCAGATCGATAATCCCCGCAAAGTACAGCATGAAAACGCAGAGAGGGGTGGAATCCTTATTCGCGTGTGGAGCTGCAGTGATATTTATCCCCACAGCTACACCGGAATAATTATTCACACCTCTCCAGCCACACTGGTCTGGCGGTCCCCAAGTTGCCGACGAAGGTGATGACCCTTCGTCCGCGGAATCAGAACTCCAACTTTCCTTGCCACTCTCAGAATCGGTTGAATAGTAGTCTGAATCTGTGTCATTGAACAGCTGTTTCTAAATTTCAGCGTCTTCCATACGACGTGTGGCCATGGTGAACTATACGGCTCTCTAGCAGTGAATGGTTTACTGCCAGTACAAAATCTCTCTGTGCTTAGACCACGACCAGAAGCCATAAATCATAACCTCGCGCCCACACATACAAAAATCTCATTCACGTCTTGGCTGAACTCAATATCTGCTTCAAAGATGCTAGATAATGTCATGGGTGGCTAACCTTATATTGCGATTTTTCAAAATCGTTACAAACACAATGGTTTGACTGCAATGAATGAACGAATGACCGATCTGGCAACACCATATTCTGAGAATGTGCTCCTGTGTCTTTCTAACAGATATTACACAGCGAGCGATTTCAGACGCC